CCTTCCAATCTCTAATATTCTGTGATTCTTTCAAACACCCCTTGCCTCTACTGCTGCTTGTGCTGTTTGCATTTGTTTTTGTAGAACTTGCAGCTTGATATTGAACCTCTTCCAGGGTACAGAATCCCTCCAAATTCTAAACAGCCAAAGAATTTGGATAAATAACCAAACTAGCGTCCAGCAGCTCGAATTCTGAGGTTTGCCTGTTATCACCCTCAAGATTACATGCAAACAGGATTAAAGAAGAGCCAATTAATTCGAAGTGAGAGACAAGCTCTCAATCTGGTAAAAAAAAAAAAATATAATGCAGCTTAATCCAGCATTTTGCTATTGGTATGCATGTGTCATTCAACAAAGACACATTAATCACTACAGAATACTTGCTGAAAATCCTGTGCTTTCTACTCACTCTCTCAGCTGCAGATGTTAGGAGGGGAGCTGCAACTGCACGTGCAAGAAGGTTTCCAAATTACTAGCAACTCAGAGCTGGTCCTAAATGCAAAACCCAAACCCAACCAGAGCCTGATGCTCTATGCATGAAAGATAATAAGCAGTCTGCACACCTGGGAGACAATCAGCATCTTCTGTGGCATGTCCATACTTCCAGTGAGGTCTTTAAAGCCCTATACTTGGAGTATTGAAGTAGAAGTAATTTGCTTAAGCCCCAAAAGCTCACTGCCTGCTTCTGAACTTGCAGGGACAGGAATGAAAACAGAAACGCAACAGCATGTGCCCTTCCAGGGCCCTATTTATTAAGTGAATACAAAAATAAAATCATTTAAGTGCAGAGGCACAGTAATCCGCTCCATGGTGAAAAAATATCTTGGGTTAGCAGTAAACAAGAGTTTACAACGCCTTGTAAACAGACCTCTTTACAAGCAAGCAGCATACTGAAACGCGACACACATGGGATTAAAAGTTCCCTGTTGCACCAATACTTCACGCTGCTCTCTGGCAATTTCAGAGCACTTTGCAAAAGGTGAGAGCATCCTTTGCTCTGTTTTCAGAGAAGCACAGGTGAAGTGAATGAAACACAATGAACCTGCTCTGTAAAGACTTTTGCAAAGATGATGGCTTACCCCTTGTTAGGTTTGTTTTGCAATGAGAAATCATGGCCAAAGCTATTGTGCATTATGAAGTTTTAAAAATAACTTTTTTTTTTTTTTTTTTTACAGCAACCTGTTGCACGGTTGAATAATATTTTTTTTTTTCTTAATACAGTACATGGCATTTCTCCTCAATTGCACCAGAAGTAAATTTGGAAGCACTTTCAGTTGTGTGTAGGCAAATAGGAAAGAAAAGCACGTCAGGCAGGCTTTCAGTATCCTTTCCACCTCTCTGCCCGCTGTTCTATGCCCGCCCTTTCACATCTCCGAGTCCACATACATTCCATTGATCAGGTAATCCACTTGTGTGTAATCTTTCTTCTTGTAGCTTTCGTAGGCCTGCAGAAGGAAAAGAACTATAACAGTTATGAAAAAAACCGCACCGACTAAAAGCACTGCAAGAAGCGAACTTTTATCTACTAAGTACTGAGTCAGGGGCTCAGCGGCAATGAAAAGATACTCATCGTCCCTGTCCTGAGTTTCTTTACGGTCCAAAGCTGTTGTTCTGGGTGCATCTGCTGGAGCCGTGGTTGTTGAAAAGATGTGAGATGTTGTTGATGGCTTTACGCCCTGCCCAGTCGTAGGTTCTGCTGCAGAGGCAGGCGTTAAAACCACGGCACCTCTCGTAGAGCCCAGCAGAGAAGTTGATTTACTCAAGGATGGTGTGGCTGTACTTGCTCCTGGCTCTGTATACGGCAAGGTAAAGACAGGCAGGGGACTCCCAGAGCGTGAACTCTCCGAGGGGGTGAGTGCCATGGCACGAGTGGAAGCAGCAGATGTTCCTGCATGCTGCGGGACGGGGATGGTCGATGTTGTGCTCGGTGTCTTCAGTCCAGCTCCAACAGTGGCCGGGCTACTGGAGCGGGGAGCGCTGGTGGTGGTAGACGGGTGAAACTGCTCTGTTTGAGGCACCCCAGGAGCTGCTTCTGAGATGACAGTGAGGGGAGCAGAAGTCGGGAACAATACTGAGACAGAGCTACCATCTCCTGATTTTTCGGTGGTGGTCACAAGCTTGGTGACATGGCTGGAAGTGGAAGCAGGGATGTTTCCAGAAGTGGGAGAAGAGGCAGTGGATGACATGGCTTCAGCCAGGAGAGCAGAACCTCCAGGGGTGCTGGAGGCTTTGGCAGTTGTTCCAGAAGCTGTAGTGAGGACAGCTGTGCTTGTACCATTTGTTGCTATGGCTGTGGTACTGGTGGTGGTCGCGGTGGTGATGGTCAGGGTGGTGGTGGTTGCATTGCTTGCAATGGTTTTGCTTGCATTTGTTGTTACATTTTCAACCCCAAGCAAATGCCTCAAATGAACCTTGTGTGTCTGAGCAGTTGAGGAAAAGAGGTTTTCCACGTTGTATCGGTCAAGCCGTGCGTTCACTGTCCTCTCCTTTTTCTGTGGATAGCTTTGGTGGTGAAACAGGGCTGTTTCCCTCTTCCCACTGACAATTTCTTCAAAAAGACAAAACCAAGGAGTTTCATCAGAATAAAACTCTCAAGGTCAAATCTGACCTCATACCCCCAACATGCAAACCAGCACGCACATTCTGCAGGACATGTAGTACAACTGGAATAAATTGGTCCTGAAGCCAGCAAGAGCGTGAAAACTCAGACCTCTGCCTTTATTGTACATAATTCCTTGGGGGTTTGGGTTTTTTTTTTTGCCACAGACCTCTGGCATTTGCCCAACCAGGGAATTAATTCCCCAAAAGGGGGGTAAAGAACTACAGAGCTACAAAGCAGAAGCACATTATCGACAGGAGCAGCATTACAAATGCCACTTCCTGAGAAGAAGACTCAGGCTTTCCAAGTTACACAGCATCAGCAAAGCCTTCACGCTTAAGAGTCATAATTTTTGCCTCTCAAAACTGAGTGGCAATTTCCACTTACACCTTCATACTTTGGGAGAATTTCCTTCCCAACTAGAGATGTAGATGTATAGTGACATAAAGCCCAGCTGCTTATCCAAGGTCTGGTTTCTGTGTTGCAGAGAAACCTTTGCTGACACAAAAGAACCATGAACAAACTTTCTTTTTTCTAAACTTGGGTACAGCAAACTCTTGAAACATACTTCCCCAATTAACAACAAGCTCTGCTTTGTTATTATGTCACTTAATTAAAACTGAAGACCCTGGCGCTGCTCTGATTATAGAAGCAGCCTGCTGCCTCTGGCACAAAATCCTGGCAATCTCAGAAAAAAATGATGCCAAGACATTTTCCTTTCTCTTCAGAAATATAAATACATCTGTTATGCCTTTATTTTCCAAAGGATGGCATGTGGAGTGCAAATGGCTTGAATGGATGATGTTTTCAACATGGAGACAAATCGTTGCTCAGTAAGAGTTAGAAAAGTTGCTCAAAGATGCACCACGTGCGTGGAAGTGCCAGAGCCCCTGTGAGGCTAGGGGAACATAGTGGGAACTGACTTTACCCATGGAATCACGCTGCAGGCATTTCACAGCCCACCCCCCTCAGCTGAAAGCCAGTCAAGGTCTAACCGCAGGCATTTAAAGCAAAAGGAGCAGGGTCCAGGATTTAGCAGGAGCTGGAAGCATGGCATTACCTCCCAGCAGATCTCCGATATCTTGTTCTCCAGCATTCTGGCAGACGCTTGGCTGGTGACACCGCAAGATGATGCAGCGGTTCCGGTAGGGCACAGACCAGTTACAGTGATGGGTACCTGCAAACAGCGGAGAAAATGGGTCGCTACACACAGTGTACCGAACACACTGCTTCATGGCTGGAATTTAAGAATTAAAAAAACCCCAAACCCATAGCTGGAAGGTCTGGCCTTATGACTCAACCTTTGTGAAAATAACTGGAAGGCAAATAAAATCCATATAGTGGCTGCAGCTTGTCTTCTGGTACCAACATCTCCTAACAACAGCAATTCACTCACTCAGACAGGGTGATTTTATGTAATATATATGATTTATTATTTATTTATAGAATGTAGTTATGTATTATTTACTTACATAAT